TTAATAAGTTCTCAAAATATTATTAAAGTAAAAATCATTTAGTGTAAAAACTATTGAAGCTCAAGTTAAATGCTACAACTTTCGGCTTATCGTCATACACTGCTAACATTATAAGTATCGAAAGTTCACGTAATTGAATTGCGACGGTAAAATCAACCTCGTTCTATTCATTCCTCTAATTGCTATCTGATGTATGTCACACCATACAACCTTTTTTTTAACATTCATAGTAAAAATTTACAGAAAAAAAAATGTAAGCAATTCACTAACATAATCGCTTTTTAGAATGACTGAAAATTTCAGTAGAAAAATAAAAAGCCCATTAACTAATAAAATTTCAGATAGTACATCACTGTGATATAGTAAGTGCGCGCACTTGTCGATTAGAGCAATTGTTAGAAACTGGCACGGTTATACGATCTCGAAACTTCCAGTCAGTTATACTTTGTAATCGGAATGTTACTGGAGGTCGATTTAATCGACGTTCTGATAAAGGAGGCTCACTTCCATCACGCACATCACCGCGACCTTTTGCTTCAAAACTACCAACCAAACTTTTGACCATATTTGCTACACACTGTTCCTTCTTACTACGAGTACGTGTAACTTCTTCACTCTGAAATTAGAAAAATGAAAAGTAAATTCAACGATAAAATATTGTTCTTTATAAATAATGATTAACTAACACGCTCTAGCAAGCTTCATTTTTTTTTCAAAATATGATTGTAACAAGCATGATTTTTTGTTATACATATAACAGAAATTATTCCGCTCAAAATTAGCATTATCCGGGCAAAAACTTCATATAATGAAATCTGAAATGTGTCATTAAAATCAAATGAGGCCTCGTTTATAAGGCAAGCAACGAAACAAACAAAAAAAATCAACTGAATTTGACGATCAAAGAGACCAAACAGTGAAATAACAACAAAACAAACTGACAGTATTCCTATCATCTTTATCCAACATACGACGGAAACGTATTAAATCAACAGGCTCAACTGATGTCGATGGTGTTACATCAAACTGATTTCTTTTCTTGAAAGCGTGTAACATACCTGAAATAGCAGTTGTGAAACGCGATTTTTTATCAATTTTTTTCTAGCGATCCCTATTATTAACTATAATTATTATTTCCATCGTTCATAGAACTGCATTTAAATCAGATCAGAATGCAATGGGAATCACATCTCTCATGTAATGACTGCTTTCATTTAATTCAAACAAAATGTTTCTAAAAAAAAAACTATTGATTCACTTATTTTGCTATGATACCTGCACTGTAAAGCCTATGCCCTCCCTCATCTCTTATGAATACCTAGATAGAAGAGAGAAATGACAATTTCATAGACTAGGCAAATTAATATGAAATCGTCTTTTCAACGATATTTTGAGACAAGTTTAACAAGGAATGCTTTCAAGATATGCAAGATAAACTATTCACAAAAAAACAAAATTTTTTGATCACTGCTAAGTAGCCAGTTAAAAAACGAGCAAATATCACTGATTATTCGTAGACATTTATGAGTTAGCGAGTTTTATGATCATCTCTTCCTTCTCCTTCCGAAAAAATACTTGCAATGCCTTATCAAACTCTTTTTTTTTTTTGAAATTTACAATCGTTTTTTAAAATAGCCAGATCGCAGCTGTGATGCTATTATTTACGATTAAAAAATGATGACAAGTAATCTTTGTTCTCCGAGGTTGTCGAACAATATTTTCTACTAAATTTAATCAATAACCTTGTGTAACGCTTAAAGAAATTTTATTGTAAAATAATTGATCTTGATGGAATGTAAAAAATTATTAGAATTACGGCGCTTGGTTACACCGTCAAAGAGAGATTTTAAATTTGCCTTATAGGTAATAAGTTACCTTCAAATGTCCTGAGCTGCTCTACAAAACCAATATTTGGTGTAATACAACCCCTCTTATTTTTTACATGTTCCATTGCTTGCGAAAGTGCCCATCCATATTCCTGATAAAAGGAAAATATTGATTATTATAACAACCGTCAAATAAAACTCAGTGATATCATTCATTTACGTTATCACAATTCACCCCAAGATTGCAACAACTTTTCTAAATCGATTTATATCTTCCACAGATCTGAACAGCAAATAAATAAAAAATACTGGGAGAGTGAATATAAACATAGCCATACCTTCATTGCGAAAGCTATCACTGTAGAAGATGATCGGCTGATGCCTTTTTTGCAATGCACTAATACAGCACCACCTTTTTCTCTTAAAAAGATGAATATGAAAAAAACAAAACCGATCAATACTATTGGTTTACCATCAAAAACGATAATTAGAAAAACAAATCTAAATTCAAAAAATTAAAAAGCTTAAATTCTTACTTTGCTTCTTTAATAAAATGATTTGTTTGATTCCAGTATTTCAGCAATTCGGTGCTAGCTTCATCCGAAACGCGTATTTTTAAATACTTTAAACGAGCAGGGAAAAAATTTTCAACTTCATTCGTTACATTAACAATGTATTTGATTCTAAAAAAGTAAAATGTTATTAGGATTAACACGGATACAAAATTATGAATTGAAACGAATCAAAGTTCCGAATTCTCTATGAAGATACTTGTGTTATTACCTATTCAAACTACTAAATTTGCTGACCAACACTAAACAAAATTTACAATGCAATAAACTGCTTACAAAACAGATGAACTAAAAAAGCATTTAAAACATTAAATTTTAAGACACATCTAATTTTTATACCCATTATTTTCAAGCCACTGCCAGTCGCATGCGTTCCATTCAGTACCCAAATAAAGATAAGGAAAAATCTGTGATGCTTTATCCATCTGTCCCATAATAACCATCATCTGACGACTGATAAAGTCTTTATATTTATCCAGTTTCATATGCATACTGTCTTCCACCTGAACAATTTTAATCTTAGCTCTGTTAATCTTGATTTCCAAATTGTAAGAAAACATTCACAACACTATTCTATTGCAGGTAATTATAAAGAAAGAGTAAATCAACCTTTAAACGGATATCTCTACTCGTAACTTCATCCAAATCCGCAGTTTGCATTACCTCTTTTAATCGTTCGTAAATTCGTGCTTTTACTGAAACAGATATTAGCACCATAACCGGTGAACATGATTAAAAAACAACATAACTTTATGCACGCAAGCAAGCATGATAAAAAATAACGATTTTATTTCGCAAAAAAGCAATTACCGGAATCATCATCGCCTCGATAATCATGACTAAGTCGCTCAGCATCCGCGCTTGTTGCTCCCAAATCGTTACCTGTTTCACCAGTACAAGATGACGTTGAACGCTCCCTTAAAATTTGAAATCACTATAAAAAATTATTCGCAAAACCATATTTCAGAAATTTAATGAAAATTTCCTTTTCAATATTGCCACAGCTTAATGAAATCAATTTTTCGAATAAACAAAGAAATTCTTTATATTTCCATTATTGCATCAAAACATTTAAATATTTCCTCATTTACTTTTTTGTAACCACAAAAGAAAAAAATACTCGCAATAATATTACTGCAGTTATTTTTTATATTCAAGCAATAAAGAAAGAAATTAACCGAGAGCCATTACAAGCACGAAAGCGAATCTGTCAAAACTGTTTTACTTAAAAAAATGATCTTTAAAATTCTACCCAATGCAATTCAACGTCGTTTTCCAAATAATTAACATTGATTTTTTGATAGGGGCAAAAATCACCATGTAATGCACATGGCTTCAATAGAAAGAGGTTTGATGATAGATCAAAACCAACAACCATCACCACTCAAGAAAAATCATCATGTACTGCAACTGTAGTAACAAACCACATTGTAACTATCGTATCGTCTGATGATACTTGCTCATTGTAATAATCGATCAAACGCCTCGCTGTTTTCCCAAATTGTTGTGCTGAACTTTTTGCATTTTGTGCATCGATTAATTCCTACAAAACATTCGTGAATAACACATTACAGCGCCTAATCCTATTTGAACTTCACTCAAGATAGCTGACTACCTCCAAAAGCAATTCGAGAAGCTCATCAAATCGAAGAGCTGAAAAATATATAAAGTATACTTTATGTAATCTTTGAAACATCGTCCACATAGCCTGGACAGAAACAGGCCTAAATATATGCATTGATGAATCAAAATCAACAACCACACCACCATCACCGTCTAAACTCACTCGGGTTGAAGCATAAACCGGAATGG